CATGTGTACACGTAGCTGTACCAGCTTTATTAGTTCTCGACTATTTGATGGTTATGCTAATCTAATTTAAAATACCAGATGTATTTGTGACAACATGTTCAATTAGGAAGTAAACGTCACCACAGATAATATAAGCTTAACTGGGAAGATGGGAATTAATTTAATATCTATCATTCTAGAAAAAAATGAGAGAAGCTACAGTTAAAAATTAACTAGAAATTTATGATGGTGAGGTAATACCTAGGATAAAAATGCATTATAAAAGTGTGGAATGTAAACAATACAATGCAAATTAACTAACATGAAGAGGATATTGTAGTAATGGTTGATTTCATTGAGCTCGTTACAAACTGGGAATTCATTAGCTGAATTGAGGCAGTAGAACCAGAATTAGATGGTGCAAGATTTTTATATTTTGACTTTTGTGTGTCAAGAATTCTACTGTCGATAATTCACATTTAAGCCTGAATTTTACTAGATGTCAGGTTCCATCTACAAAATAACAATTAAATCACTAGGGACTAGTCACAACAGTATGATTAAGTTTATGATTATCTGGAAAACAGCAGCAAGCAGGGTAATGCATTTCAAAAATAAAGTTAGATAAGATGGAGCAATGACCTAAATGGAATTATGTAATTCATACTACAAAAACTGCTGGAAAAGCTCAGCAGGTATTCTTCATAAACAGAATTAATGTTTTGGTTCACTGACCTTTCATCTAACTCCATTTCTCTCTATAGATGTTGCCTGATCTGATAAGTATTCTCTTATTTTCTGTTTTTATTTTTAATTTCTGGCAGCCACAGTATTTTGCTTTTGTATTCATCATGCATTAAATTTCAGTTGCGAAAATGCACAACTAGCAGAACTATTGCTGTGTATATGATGGAGGTATCCATCCTCAATTAATATGTAAGCTAAATAAAAATGGATGAATAGGTAAATTAAAACAGGAATTAACAAGTAAAGTCAAGCTATACAAAAATACCAGAGGTTTGATGTATGGTTTAGGGATTGCCTAATACTTCAACTATTTCAGTTTTTTCAATCTATTTTGAGAGAAAATTTATAAGAAGTTGCTTTAGATCACAATTAGTAGCACGAAAGATGGCAAAATCATGGAAGAGTAGAATAGTGTAAATTTAACTGATTGGGTGATGGGGACATAAGAATTCTCGGCTCAGTGTATTTGCAATAAATGTACTGCTGAAGCTGAAGAATCTGCCTCATCTGTGCTGTAGTTACTATTTTTAGTCCTTCAACTCTCAGTAACTTCAAAGTTCAAACAGATAGCTGTTGTCCTGTTTGACAGATCTTTCAGAGTCATGAAGGAAAGCACAACCTATTTCTAAAAGCTGAACAAAATGCTTTATGGGTGAACTATATGGTATTACTTAAACATCCTTATTCCATGACATGCACTCACAGCTGCAGCTGTGTTCCTGTTCCACTAGATGGGATCCTGAGTGCACTGATGTTCTGAAAGAAATGCTCATTGTCTTGCCATTCTCATGACCTACTAGGATAATATGCTGGAAATCCAGTTCTGCTATTCTTGGAATCATCACAAAAGTTAAAAGAAATATGCCCCAAACCACCTAACTTTCTGACAGATTCCTGTATTTAACAAAAATCATCATTTATTATTGGTAATCAGATTCCAGCTACAGGTAAACAATTCAACTTAATTAAATAAACTCTATGAATTAAAACTCTAAACACCTTATAAACTCTGTCTTACAAACAGAAACAGTGGAAAAAAACACACAGCTGATGGAAACTGGTAAACATCTCAAAGTCGTTTGTTCACAACATCAGTTAGGCTGCGTTCTTGCTGATCCAAAGCTTTTTCCTTGATCTTTTTCTGTATGCTTCCACTGGTTTTCAAAAGGCACAGATAGCTGCTTGCTTATAAATGGTCTCGGACTTAAACAATTCAAGTCACAACTTAGAGCATCTGCTGAAGCAACGGTAAATGGATTCTCTTCGGGTTTAAGGTGGCTTACTGCAGAGAACTCTTTCTAGGTGCTGCATGTTTCTCCTCTGGTCTGACTGGCTTTTGTCTGTCTTGCTCACAGCCCAAGCTGTTCATCTAACTGACAACCAATCATCATGTTATTGGCAGGCAGAGGGCCATTGCCATTGATAATTGGTCCTTAGTTCTCAAAGTGATCAACTTCACTTGTAAACAACCCCTCATCTGCACATTTCTGGAACCTGCTACACAAATAAGCGTTCACAAAAAGGATCAAATTTCTTACTTTCAGAACGTGCAGCCACATTTGTAAATCCGTGGATTTCAAAATAGTTCATTCTCATTTCTGTCCACACTTATAAAAAGCCCAATTATAAAAAGATAGTCTTACAACTTTCAATGGCTAATGTCATTAGATCCACTAGTCATTGAAATGCAAGCGACCAATATGGAAAACTCACTAAAACATCATGTAAATAGAAATATAAACAAGATACCAGTAACACTCATGAAAAGCGAATGATGTCCAGTAGGTGCTGTGAATAAATTCTTGCAAATTGCTGAATGCTGGTTTTTGTCAGACATTAAAGACTGCCAAGATATTTGTTCCCTAGTGGAAAAAAAAACTTTAAATGCTGTAAGTAAACTGCTTATTCTGATCCACATAGCCTCTGTTGTGAACTAAGTCAAGTTTCCAAACTGGAAAGCAGACAACAGGAATTTGTAGTTTGGCATTTTATTTCTTGAATTTTGCTTGATGGTGGTTTGAATAAAATTTAAATATTTTCCTGAAAGTTGTTCTAGGTTGAGGATAATTTATAATTATATACAAGCCAGATCAGTTAAGTTGGGAATAATCCATCATATATGCTATCTGCAGTCTCATGTTACCAAGAGAGCAGAGATGTAGGTTAATTTCTCTCTTTTCTCACATCTCAACTGAATGCAGCAAGATAAATTTTAGAGAAGGAATGTTGTACTGCTTTATCCCTTGAGTGCTGGGGGCTTTTGAGAGTGGAGAAAAAATGGCTTCTTTGGTAGGCTTTTAAAAAAAATCACTTAATTCTCGCAATGCTCAAAAACATATTTAGCAAACACTTCTCTCCCTCTCACTCACATAAACAAACACATATATACATACACAAGAAAAGATGATTTTAAAAGATGTAACATACACATAGATTACAAGGCCTAAAACTCAATATCACTATATTTCCAAGAATGTAATTGAAAGTGTTGCATGCTTGGAAATGATTTTTCTTCAACCCAACTTTCCTTGTAGTCTCCTTCCCATATGCCCCCTCCCACAGCTTTATTCTTTTCTCATACCTCTTGTATATGCATCACCACCTAAACCCTGCAAATGGCCACTGCAACAAAAGGCAGGGTGCAGCGCCCATGTGCCTTGCAGAAGGCACAGGCCCCCAGCAAAATCCTTAGCTCCCAGCAACCCTTGACAAAAACCCTGTCTCTGAGTAAAAGGCACAATCCCCATCTCTGGCCCACTCGTGGCTCCCTTACTGCTAATATTTGCCTTCTCAACTGCTCTCTACTCCTGCTATCACAGGCTTGTTTGTTTGCTGATGGTAAGCTCACCAGTGAGCGATTGAATTATCCCTGTTGACTTTTTAGGGTGAATGTGCCTGCCGTTCCTGCGTATTTTGAGCCCGAAAGAGTGGTTGGCATTCCTCCAAATCATTTTCCAGTAACCCTTGGTGGAATTGCCAGGTTAGGCCAAAATTACCTCCTCACATTCAACACACACATGAGTAATACCCAATTTTTTTGGCACTGATGGAGCTAGTGTCTGTTGAAATTGTCCCAACATGAAATTAACAATAGGCTAGCAAGGCAAAAAATTGTTACATAATAACAGAATTATATGGTAAGGTTTTGCAGCAAAGTTTTATGTATATGGTCCTTGCAGTATAAACACAGGTTAGACTTTAAAACGGCGTAAGTCTGGACCGATGGATTCAGTCACTGGGTGCTTTTTTAAGAAAAGAATGGAAACAGGGTTCAGTGGGTGGAGAGTTACTGAATGAAAAGGTATTCTGTTTGTCAGTGGTCTCTATGATGAGAATTTTTAAGAAAACACTTTATTTTCCTTGCCACTTTTTGTGTGTGTTGTTTTGGAATTATAGATTTGTTGAAGGCTTCCTCTGGCTGTGGTGCTGACGAACAGTAAGTGCCTCAGTGTTCATGCCATGATTATTTTTGCAAAGTGAAGGACTATACTTAGTGTTCACATACACTTTGTGTTCCCAACAGAGTCTGAGGATTTGTTAATGGTAATGATCTCAAAACCATTGTAAAGCATTCTTTCAACTTTGTCTAAGTATTTAAAAAAAGACTTGAGAAATCTTTTGTCTAAATTGAGTTTAGCGTACGTTTAGAATAACCACAAATAATGAAATATGTATAGACTACGTACATTGTGTTAGTAGACCCATTATAGTTTGTGTTTTAATTAATCCTTTGCTTATAATTTTACCCCAAGTCTCGAGCATGTCTAAGACTACATTCTTCCAGCTTCAAAGCATATACTTTTAGATCCCTAACTCTTTTCTAATGAAATCATAACAGTTTACCATGTATACATCATCTTGAGGATTGATAGCAGCCAAAGAAGTTCTTTCCTTCATTGTTCACAAACTTTGGAGCCTGGTATTTTAAGTTCTTGTGTCCCTGCTGGCATGCTGTCACAAACATTCTTCATCTTGCTTTTGCTGTTCTGCTTTCAAACACATTTTTAAGAATCCTTATATTTAACATGCCTGCACCCAATATGGTCATGTTTAACTCTCCTTTTATGAAATATTCTGAGATACTGTTTTGAATGAAGAATGCTATATAAATATAAGCTGTTAAAGAGGGAATGAACATGTCATTGATAAAGTTGCTTAAATCTAAAATCAGTAATTCTTTAAAATTCTCTGGTAGTGAAACTATTCAAATCATTTTAGTTTAATGTTCAGTATATGTAAAGCTGAATGGTGTTCACTTTATTTTTTAAAATATTACAGCAGCACTGCCAGGAAAAAGCTCTTCTATCAGCGAAGGATGGGTTTCCACGCAATGGGGATCGCCTACAGAGGACAGTCCCAAATCTCATTCTACAGCTTCACCCAAAGCTATTACAACACCAGTTACACGGACTGTAGTAGATGAATCGGAGAACTTCTTCAATGCCTTTTTGAACTCTACAGATATCCAAACTATTGAACAAACTCCAGTTGTATCTAAACCTCCAACCAAATCGCAGATCCCCAAAGAAGTAAAAGACACATTAATTATTCATCTTACAGAATCCGTTGAATTAAGTGTGCCAGAAAAAGAAAGCTCTGAAGAGAACTGTGCAATACAACCCCAAACAGATAAAACAGAATTTAAGACATCGGATCAGCTTAATGATAGCCAGCTGCAACTTGCAGGTGCTGAACATTCAGAAACTTTTGGAAGTGAGGAGTTGCAGAATAAGGATGATGTAAAATTAATCGGGACAGAAAATGTGATTGGCTGTGTGACTTCTAAAGAAACAAATCCAGGTGCATTGATTGCTTCCAGTACAGAAAAAGTGCATAAAAATTCAATAAAAACTGAACAGTTGGTGAGCCCTCCTGACAGCCCATCAAAATCCCACACACACCCAGGAAAGGATTTGGTTTTGGAGGCAAAAGAACAAAAATCAGAGGACAGACAAAGCAACACTCCTTCCCCACCCATTAGTACATTTTCATCAGGAACATCAACAACCAGTGACATTGAGGTATTGGACCATGAAAGCGTCATTAGTGAGAGCTCAGCTAGTTCAAGACAGGAGACTGTGGATTCAAAGATGATGCAGACTTCCTTTCAGCTGCTGTCAACATCAGCCTGTACTGACTATCAACGTTTGGATGAGTACCAGAAACTTACAGAAAGTTGTGGCTCTTCTGATGCCTTTGAGAGAATTGACACTTTTAGTGTTCAGTCATTAGACAGCCAAAGTGTGAGTGAAATTAATTCGGACGATGAAATGTCAGGTCGGGGGTGTAATGTGACAGCTGTGTCTCTACCTCCGTCTGTCTGTAATACTTTACCAGCGGAGCACCTGGTGAAGAATGTTGGAGAGAACACAAGTGAGAGTCAAAAGGAAAATACACTTGATGAGAATGAAATGGAAGAGAGTGGTCGAAGTGCAACACCAGTGAATAGCGAACAACCGGAGATCTTGCCTGTAATTGGTCTGACAGTAATTGAGAACCACAATACAGAAAGTATAGTAACTAACAGATTGTCGGAGGGAAAAATTAGCGCTGAATGTCAACCCAACGGTAAATTTGACAATTTTAAATTACAAGAGGTAAACTTATTTACTTACTATATATTTATATATACTTTGATATTAAATCACTAATTTATTTTTGCAGGTTTGATTTCATAATAAGTACATTATGTCATTTCTCCTTGGGATCCAAACTGTTTCTTTTTCAATGAGGTTGCAATATAAAGCCAAAATGTTTTTCTTCTCTCTCCTCTATTTTTTCTCTCCCTTATTTCCCTTTTATCATTGGAAATTCTTAATTTCTCTATCATTGCTGAAATGAAAGTGCTGACCTTGTCTCTGTGATTTTCTTGTGTATAGAATACAGATATAGGAATTGCTCTTGCATTATACTTTAAAGTTCTAGAAGAAGGAAAAGGTGATATCAGTATAAGAGTAAATAATGTTATATTTTCATTCCTAAATACTAGGAGGTATAATGCTTATCAGAGCTCACCTTCCCGTAGAATTGGGCTAAAAGGATCTGAAACAAAAACAGAAATTCTGAAGAAGGGTCACTGGACCAGAAACATTAACTCTGATTTCTTTCCATAGATGCTGCCTGACCTGCTGAGATTTTCCAGCAATTTCTGTTTTGTTTCAGATTTCCAGAATCCACAGTTTTGTTTTTGGTTTTTAGGCTGAAAGGATTTCTGGACAGTATAAATCAAAACAAAAATTCTGGAGCAGAAACTGACGGCCACGTAACCAACAGTTTCAAGGAACAGCACCTGTCATTTGTGAACTGGTTTATAAGAAATAAATGTTGTATCTTATGAAATTACAGAACATGGATTTTTTCTTACAATAGATCACATTGTGTAAGAATCAAACATATTTAAAACTGCTGTTTTTAAAGGATGATTTGACAGTATACTAACATTTCCAATATTTTTATTTACCTGTTTTCTCATGATAATAGGCTAAGGCTTTGTACCCTGGAGTGTCAGAGGCTGAGGGATGATCTTATAGAGGTTTATAAAATCATGAGAGGCATAGATAGGGTAAATAGCCAAGATCTTCTTCCTAAGGTGGGGAAGTCCAAAGCTGGAGGCATAGATTTAAAGTGAGAGGCGAAAGATTTAAAAAGGACATGAGGTAACTTCTTCACAGAGGCTGGTGCATATATGGAATGAGCTGCCAGAGGTGGTGGTGGTACAATTGCAACATTTAAAAGGCATCTGGATGGGTGCTTGAATAGGAGGAAGGGTTTAAAGGGATATAGGCCAAATGCTACAAAATGGGACTAGGTCAAATTGGGATATCTGGTTGGCGCAGACAGGTCGGTCTGAAGGGTCTGTTTCTGTGCTGTATGACCCTATGACTATACATTTTTATATTTTTCAACGAGTTTACGCTCCTCGTTTCCTGCAGGTTTTGGCTCCTTATGGGGGTGTGGTTCCACAGACTGCCCTCTATAAACTTGCCCCAGTAGCTTTTCGTCTGCCAGGGTCAGCTGTGTTTTTGACCAAAAAGAACATTTCTGCCAAGGGTCATCCTAAGGTTTTGGAGTAGATCTGTAGCTTGGGTTGCGGGTGTTGAGGTTGGTTGGCTCGCCGAGCTGGTTTGTTGTTCCACAGACGTTTTGTTACCGTGCTTGTTAACATCTTCAGTGCAGCCTCTGATGAAGCGTCGGTGTGTTTTCCCGCCTGGTTTTTAAACTCTGGGGTCCGTTGCGATGGATTGCCTCACTTCCGGGTTTCCTCTGTATTGGAATGTATATGGGGTCAAGTTTAATGTGTTTATTAATAGCATGCTTCGTGGAGTGCCATGCTTCCAGGAATTCTCGTGCTTGTCTCTGCCTAGCCTGTCCCACGATCTTGATGTTGTCCCAGTCGAAGTCGTGGTTCTCCTTGTCCATGTCCATGAGCACGAGAATTCTTGGAAGCATGGCACTCCACGAAGCATGCTATTAATAAACACATTGAACTTGACCCCATATACATTCCATTACAGAGGAAACCCGGAAGTGAGGCAATCCATCGCAACGGACCCCAGAGTTTAAAAACCAGGCGGGAAAACACACCGACGCTTCATCAGAGGCTGCACTGAGGATGTTACCAAGCATGGTAACGAAACGTCTGCGGAACAACAAACCAGCTCGGCGAACCAACCAACCAACCTCAAGGGTCATCCTGTTCACATAACATTTGCAGTTGCAACAAGGACCATTGGTTACTAAATGGATGGAGAAATTCAAGCTTATCATCCATTAAGAAGCATTAGTTTAAGTGTTCTGGTGGCTTCCTTGACTGATATCAGTTCAGTCAACACGGATTACTGTTTGAATCAGGAACCTTCCTGTTTAGGTTGGCTCATTACCAGCTTCTGGCAGTAGTTTGTTTTCCATTCTTTCTTGACCAGATATTCTCCTAGCTTTATAGAACCACAGAAGGAAGCTATTCATTCCGTTGTGTCTGTACCAGCTGAATAAACTAGCCATCCATTCTTACAGCACCTACAAGCATCTGTCCATTGCCTTGCAGGATTCAACACTTCAGGTACAGGTTCGGGTTCTTTTTCACATGAGTAGCAGGTTTGAATTCTAGAGAGCTGTCACCCTCTGTGTGATAGGTTTTCTTCATATCCAGTCTAGTTCTTCCACCAATCATGTTAAAAAAAATTCTGTGCCACCTGGTAATTGATCTCTCTGCTAAGGGAAACAGGCCTTATTTGTCCACTCTATCCAAACACATCATTATTTAGTTTACCTTGATTAAGTCATCTCTCCGTCTCCTAGGTCCTAAGCAGAACAACCCTAGCTTATCTCTAAAGCAGTTATATCCTTCCTATCATGTGATGTCTAGAACTGAACGCGGAATCCCAGCATTACATCCCTGCTGTGTATGCAATATTTCCCTAAAGAAAGAAAGCATTCTAGATGGCTCCTTTACTTGCTTATTTACCTTTCCTGCTTCCTTCAGGGACTTGTGGGCATACACTCCAAGGTTCCTCACTTCCTCTACCCCTCTTAATTTCACTGCACCCCCTGGTATGCTTTGTTTGCCCTCCACAGATGCATAATTTTATACTTCTTTGGATTGAATTCTATTTGTCAAATGACCACTCACATAACCAAACCATTGATATGTTCCTGCAGTTGACAGCCATCATCCTCTTCACTGTCAACCACCCAGCCAATGTTTATGTGGTCTGTAAATTTCCAATCATGCCTTTCACCTTTCGGTTTAAATCATTCATTTATATCACAAACAGCAAGTGACTTAAAACAGCCCTAGGCAACACCAACTTCCCATTCACAAAAGCATTCATCAATCATCGCCATTTGTTTCCTGTCACTGAACAAATTTTGAGTCCAAGTCATCATGTCTTCTTTTATTCTATGGGCTTTCATTTTTGTTAACAGATTGTCTTTTGAGCCTTTGTCAAATTTCTTAATAAAATCCATGTAGGCACGAAGTACAAAACTACCTTCAACATCTTTGTTACTCCCTCAAACAAATTAGCTACAAAACTATGCTGGCCATCTCTTATTAATTCTCCAAATAACTATAATTGATTCCTTTAACTTACTGTCTACTGAGTTCAGACTGACAGACATTGTTATTTGCTTGATCCCTTACACCCTTTTTGAATAGTGGTAATATTGCCAAAGTTGTTATCAAAGCTTGAGTATTATTCATATTTATCTTTTAATGGTTTTCAGATAATTGATGAGTTGACAGACAAGTTGGAAAAGAGAGAAGCACAGTTGTTGTCTGTTAGCAAAGATAAAGCAAAATTGGAGGAGGCAATTGATAACCTACAAGAGTAAGTTTTACACCCATCATCTTGTTTTAGCTCTGTAAGACAATAACTTATTAAGGATTGCAGAACAAATTCTTTCAAAGATAAAATCATATGCTGTAGAAAACACAAAAAGTGGCAAAACTATTCATCAGTTTAATATACTCTGATGTAAAATTCTAAAATCTCTCTATAAGCCAAGATCAGGCCATTTCCTTTTGTTTGCTCTGATAGAATTTGTCTGCAATATGGTAACATTAGTTTTAGAATAATTCTGAAGTATGTTCTTCATATCAAAATGACTGAATATTATCTTTGTGGGGTTTTTTGAGTTTTTGTTCATAGTATTATTATAAGCTCTTAAAGATAAATAATATGAATTACTATGGTGTTGCTGTTAGAAATATTGTGAAATATTGTGTTAGAAACCTTTAAATCATAACCTATTTTCGGAAATACAAAGTTTGTAATTCTACCAGCGAACGTTTCTTGTATTTCACAGCAGTATGTTAATATATAATTCGGATTGTAGATAGGGCTTTTAAATATTAGAGTGCGGTGGGTTCAAGAGGGATCTATAGCTTACAATTATTTTGATAATAATGCCCAGAGTGCGACAGGAAGGGACAGAGTGTGCAAGTATGAAAAATCAGTGGCAAACAGGGTCAAAGAGGGGAAAAAATGTTAAAAGGGCAAAGTTAATGTCTCTTTACATAAATGAACATACGTAGTATTCAGAAGAAAATAAATTAATTGACAGCGGAATCTTTTCTGTGAGGGCAGTGTATCTGTGAAATTCTTGCCACAGAGGGCTGTAGGAGTTGCGTCATTACGTATATTCAGGGATGAGGTACACATTTTTAAACAGTCAGGGATCAGAGGTTATAGGGATACGGTAGGAAAGTAGAGTTGAGGACTGTATCATGTCAGCTGTAATCTCATTGAATGGCGGAGCAGACTTAATGGGTGAAAAGGCTTCTATGCTTCCTTGCTTCTCTGTCTTATGGTCTTATTTCATGAAAGATATTAGAGGGGAGTAGGGAAGAAAAGACTGTGTTGTATTGTACAAATCCTTTGCCAATTTTAGAATCTGCTCCATCAGTTTTTTTTAAATACTGGTGAATCATAGTTCTAGATACTGACCAACGTAGTCCAAGAATAACTTGATTTGTTTAAGTGCCCTGTAAATGTGTATAAAAAACATCAGATATAGTCATATTGAGTTCGGTATCATTGTGAAAAGGATCTAAGTTGTCTGCAGTCTCCCCAGCTTACAGTTTTGGTGCATTTCTGTTTACACTGCCTTTCAGTTTTTCTGGAAAGTAGGATTTTGATTTCTGGTAAGCACAATCCTTTGTGCTTACATTTGTTATTAATTCATAACAGTTCCTTGTTGCTGTTTATCATCAGAGTTTATATTCCAAACTAAACACAAAAATATTGATTTAGCATTTCCATTGTTTAGTATTTCTGTTGTTCAGCAATTAATACCGATCTGTAATTTTGAACAGAGCAGTAATGGTTATCAGTAAACTCAAGGTCTTAGCCTCCTATTTAAATATAAATGTTTTTGTTAATAAAGTGAGATGGTTAGACTAAAGGAAGAAAGCAACAGCATCGCTGCAATAAAAGATGAGTTTACTCAACGCATTGCAGAATCTGAAAAGAAAGTCCAGCTTGCTTGCAAGGAAAGAGATAACATTAAAAAGGTAATGAGAGTTACCACCATTATTTTAATTCTCCTCTTAGTTTAAATCTTTAAAAGTAAGTTTCTGTAGAACTGTATGAAAAATAATACTTAAATTGTGAGCAGTGCTGATTGTAATTACAATGACTAAACTTTCTTTTTCCTGCATCTTTGAAAATTGTCAATATTTCTACTTTTTTTTGCAAAAATTATACCTTCTGTTCTGTGTCATTTCTGGGTTTAGGAATTAAAGACTATGAAGGCAGAACTATCCACTAGATTTACCTGTAATGAAACAGCAGATCTAGTCCGAGAGAAAGATGAGCAAATTAGAGGACTGATGGAGGAAGGTAGGAAATGAGATGTAAATGCCAAAGTATTGAAATCATTTTGTATTAAAGCTTAACGGCATTCCCCACTGAATACTGTCTGGAGAAAAATTGACTAGACCATGTTTTTAGACCTGTATTAATGAGGTATACTGTAATGTAGCAGTATCGGATTTGCTTTTAATGCTGTATGTATTGGCATGTTCTCTCTGCTTAGATAATGTAATGATGCAGTAGTCAACAAAACCATGAACTTTGTTTTGAGAGCTATTTTAAAATATTCAACCTGGTTGTACATCAAGAATAATATAATAGAATCCACCATTCAAATTTTTTCAAATGTATGTAGTATATCACAATTTAGTCCTTGTGATATAAATTTTATTTAAAACCTTGACAAATAAAATCTTACACTGCAATTGCCCAGAAAGCACAGCAAGCTCGAGGGACTGAATGGCCTACACCTCTTCCTCAGAATCACAGGATCCCTACTGTGTGGAAGCAGGCCATTCGGCCCTTCGAGTCCACATGGCTCTCCGAAGAGCATCGCACCCAGTCCCACTGCATCCCTGTAACTGTGCATTTCCCATTTCTAATCCACAAGACACAATGGTCAATACAGCATGACCAATCCATCCTAACCGGCACATCTTTGGATTGTGGGAGGAAATCGTAGTACCTGGAGGAAACCCACAACAGACACGGTGAAAACGTGCAAACTCTGCACAGACAGTCGCCCAAGGCTGGAAGCGACCTCGGTCTCTGGCCCTGTGAGACAGCAGTGCTAGCCACTGTACAGCCCAAATTCTTATTTCATATTGACTTATGGTCTTATATAAACTCTTTCCTTTTGGGAAAATACTTTTTTTTTAACAGGATGCACTTGTACCTGTAACAAAATTTTACTGTAGAGATCATGGTGATGTTAACATCATTATTATTAAATAGTGAATTGCCTCAACATTCACTAACTTCACAAACACAGTGAAATATGCATGCCTGGAATGTGATGCTGAAGTACATCCTTCAGAAATTGTGAGAAAATAGGAAAGCATTGGACTAAGAAACATGGAATGTTGGGGAGTTGCTATGCTCACATGACCGAGAAAAATAAACATGCATTTACATAAAGCTTTCCACCACCACCACCAGCCAAATAAGTACTACATAAAGTATGGTAACTTATGTAGGAAATGCAGTAAGTCAGTTTGCACATGGTAGACTCCCTAAACATCAGTGCGGCCACAGAATCTGTTTTTGTGATCTTGATTAAGGGATAATTATTTATCAAGGCGCTGGGGACAATGTTCTTTGTCTTGCTCAAAGTAGTGCCATAGAATCTTTTGCGCCCACCTTGAAGGGGTTTGATTTTAACATTTTATTTCTTAAAAACTGTCTCCGACAGTGCAGCACTGCATTAGCGGGAGAGTCAGCCCTGACTTCTGTTCTCAAATTCTGAAACAGAACGTGAACCGAGAACCTTGTGACTCAATAGGAGAATTGAGCCAGAATTGACACCTAATAACCACTAAAAGTTTTGCAGAAAATGTTAAGGTTTGTCCATTCTAGTGTAAATAAATGTTTAGTGGTGACTTATGAGTCTTAATTACTGCCGAATGGCATGTACGGCACAAAAATGTTTTACAAGGGCAGAATCCCAATCTCCTTATTTTAGCTATTGTCAAAACTGTTTTTTTACTTTCTAACTTTTATCTCTCACCCTCTCTCTCTAAATCCAATCTATCTTTTCCTCTCATTTATTGCTCTCTGTACCTGATGTGGGTTTAAATGAAATAGTCTAACTTAACTTTCTGGTTTAGAATCCGTACTACATAGTTTTGATTTTGCAATTTGATTGTTTAAAGAGGTATACCATTGTTTGATGTAATCACCTTAGTTTCTCATCCCACCAAAAACGTATTGGCATCATGGTTTTTCTTGGACAAAATTCCATAGAACATCTGCGAGCAAGTGCAAGTGTAAAAAAGAGCATGTGCCATTCATTCCCTGTTGATTAGAAAATTTGGTCAGTTATTTTGGTGCAAATGTTTTACATAATTAGCTGTGTCCATTTTTACAGTGACCAAAAATGCTATTATTTGATTTCAGGTTAGGCAAGACATTGACATTCTTTTAAACTTGTTTCTTAAATGTGCCAAAAAGAAAGATCAATTGATCAATGTGCAAAGACTCTGTCTCATCAAAATTGATGGTACGAGTACTTGCTTTGCATTTTTACCCACTCCTCAGATTACTCAGTCTAGAGCTGTACAAGTTGATGGGAATATTCAGTACAAATCAATACTTCTTCAGAACAGTGAACCTGGAAATTCTACCTCTAATAAAAGTTTGTGAAGAAGGTGCTGAAGAACAGGATGAACTAAAAAGTGTTTTTCAGTATCGTGCCAAACTACTCCGTAACGTGGTGATGAATATTTCAATCCCAATTGTTAAGCAAAAGCAAATTGCAACGATGTTAAGGTTGATGTTTTCTGGGAACTCGTTTGAAAGGTAGAAATTATGAGACAAAGCAATGCAAGCTTTATTTTTAAACACAATGTTAATGATTTCAGGAGAGAAACTTTCTAAACAACTCCTGAACAATTCGAACATAATAAAGAAACTAAGGGTGAAAGAAAAAGAAAATGAGACAATGATCGCAAAGCAGAGCAAGAAAACCAAAGAACAAGAGGAAGAAATTAAACATCTGCAGCAGGTCAGCGAATGAAATTGATGCCTTGAGCAGGAACTGACTCACTATGTTTAAGTACTCTTTTAGTAGTATACTTAAATACTCTTAGTTAATGATCAATATAAGCTCTTCTGAAATACTACAAGTTGTTCGATAGGAAGGATGTTTGATAATCAAGTTTACGTACTGTATCTCAATGTCAACAAACCTCTTTATCCTACTCAAAGTTTGTTTCTAACTTAATATTTAGTTTTTGTTTATGCTTAGTTCAATAGATAAAAGACAAATGGAGGATATTCTAGAAGTAATTCACAATTGTCTGACATTTTAAAAAGTAGCATTTGCACAGGTTGCATTTTGATAATGATTTTTGTGTTTTCGGACAATGAAACCAAAACCTAAATAAATCACGATACTTTGTTGGGATTAATGCAGGTGCTTGATGGAAAAGAGGAAGTGGAGAAACAGCATCGGGAGAACATTAAGAAGCTCAATGGTGTGGTAGAGAAACAGGAAAAAGAAATTAGCAAACTGCAAATTTCTTTAGAGGAGCTACAGGAAAACAATCGCAGCCTTCAGTCTGCACTTGACAGTTCTTACAAGTAAGAGGATAGGGTACATGCGGATTGGTTTTCTTGGGTGGACAGGGTCAACAAGTCATGAAGAGAAAGTTAAATCTTGTGTGCTATATTTCTTTATCAAATGATTAGAGAATAATTGTATCCATTATGGTGAATAGTTAATTGTTCCCTTAAATTTGTAAACAACTTCCCTTGTCCCTTTTCTTTAGCTCTTCCAATCTTCAGCACTCTGCACCTGAAAGACACAAAGAAATAACTTTTCCTTAAACTTCTTTGTGTTCTCTAGAACCAGTTGCTTGGAAATACACAAGATCCTTTCTTGTTCATATTTTTCTCCTCTGTGTTCCAGGAACTGCTTTATAGTTGAGATTGAAAGCTTACAATGATTGTGATTGAGGCTATTGGCTCATGTAAAACGGCAAGAGATATGTACTGGGTTGCTCAAAGCATGCTTATCAGGTTATTCGGATTTCAACATTCCAAGTAGGGGACTTTGGTTACAAAATGAGGACCATGTTACAATGTTCCTGTCCCCAACTTCTATTTGCATGCATGTAGTTCCCTAATGAATTGCAGAATTACTGAAATATTATTTTGCGAAGAACAAAGCATCCGCACTTCTATAACTGCGTGCTTTTGTTCATAAAAGAGCTCTGTGTGTTAGAATTTGCTTTTGATCCCCAGTGTATTTCTTCCAGCTAAATGGTTTTCTATAGATAATTTTGTAATTTGTTTCATCACATTGTCTAACTTAATATTCTTATCTTCAGGGAACTTGCTGAACTTCATAAGGCTAATGCCGCTAAGGATAGCGAAGCCCAAGAGGCAGCTTTGAGTCATGAGATTAAAACAAAGGAGGCATTGTCAGTGGCACTGGAACAAGCCCAGGAAGAGGCCAGGCAGCAACAGGAGGCTCTTGCAGTTCAAGTCAGTATAATTATTTTAAATTTTTTTAAAAATTGACATGCTACAAATGTAGCTTTAAATTCAAATTCATTTAATTTGAAAGTATTGTGAACTGTGAGAAGGATTTAGGTATGCTTGAAGAAGATATTGGCTGGCCAAGTGGAGAATATTTAGGAAATGCCATTTCATGCAGAATCTACTAAGAGAGACAGTATAAAACAAAGCATAGAATTCTAAAATGGAATGCAAGTAGCAGAGGGACCTTTTAGCAGATGTGTATAAATTGTTAAAAGTGACAGGGTAGGTTGAGAAAGTGATTAAGAAGGCACACAGGATACTGGGTTTAATAAATAGAGCCATAGAATACCTAAACAAGAAAGTTTGAATCCATTTGAGAACCAGGGGACACTAACTTAAGATGAATTGCAAAAACCTAACATGAAGAAAAACATTATTATGCATCAAATGCTTAGGCAGTTAAGGGCCAACCACATTGCTGTGGATCTGGAGTCACATGCAGACCAGACCAGACAAAGATGGCAGATTTCTTTCCCTAAAGGACATTAGTGAACCAAATTACAATTTCCAGTAATCAACATGGTTGCCATTCGGCCAGCTTTTTATTCTAACTTTTCATTGTATTAAAATTTCATCATTTGATGTGATGGGATTTGAACACATTCGCAGACATTACTCTGGAATTCTAGCTTACCAGTCCGGTGACATTACCACAATGCCACCGCCTCCCCCCAAAAAGTCAATAATTATGTGAAGAGTAAAAGTTTGTAGGATTACAGGAAACAGCAGCAGAGTGATATGAGATGAGTTGCCAGCAAGGACAAGGAATTCAAAATAGCCACCTCTTGTGCTGTTGCCTCTGATCCTATAATATAATGCTGCATCATTTAAAAAAATCTGCCGTATATTGTGGAGAATATTTATCTGCAAACTTCTCTGACACCTCTCATAGATTTTCTGTTATGTTACTGTGTAATCTTACAGATAAACCTAAGAAATGAGTACCTTTTTTAAATTCAGTCATGGAATATGCCCTCACTGCCTGGGCCAACATTTATTGTCCTTCCTTAGTTGCCGTTGAGAAGGAGGTGGTGGGTTGCCTTCTTGAACTGCAACAGTCCATGTGCTATAAGTAGACCCACAGTGCTATTATAGAGGGTGTTCCAGGATTTTGACCTAACAACACTGAAGGAATGGCAGTATATTTCTATGTCAGGATGGTGAGTGGCTTGGAGGTGATCTTGCCGCTGCTGGTGTTCCCATGTATCTATATGTCCGGATGGTTGTGATTATGGGTTTGAAACATGCTGTCTAGGGATTTTTGATGAAGTTCTGCAGTGCATCTTGTTGGTGGTACAAACTGCTGTCCCTGTGGTGGAGGGACTGAATGTTTATGGGCGTTGTGCCAGTTAAGCAGGATGGTTTGTCCCGGATGGTGTCAAGCTTCTTGAGTGTTCTTGGAGCTGCACTCATGCAGGCAGGTAGGGAGTATTCTATCTCAAGATAGAATATTTGAGACTTGTAGATGGTGGTCGGGCTTTGGGGAGTCAGGAAGTGAGTTACTCGCTCCAGTATTCCTGGCTTGTGGCCTGCTTTTGTAGCCGCATGTGTATATATGGCTAGTTTCTGGTGAATAGATTTTGATAGTGGAGGATTTAATGATGGTAATGCCATTGAATGTCAAGGGGTGGTGGTTAGATTGTCTCTTATTGGAAATAGTCATTGCCTGGCATTTGTGTGGTGCAAGTGTTACTTGCTACTTGTCAGCCTAAGCCTGGCTATTGTCCACGTCTTGCTGCATTTGAACATGGACTGCTTCAGTACCTGAGGAGTGATAAAGTAATTGATTGTAGGCTACTTGACCTTGGATGAAAAATGCTCAGCAGGTCTAGCATCTACAGTAGAGAGAGAAGCAGCATTAATATTTCAGGTCAGTAATCTTTATTAGAACTGGAAAAAGTTAGAAAATTTTCATTTGACTTTATCAGAACTGGAGAAAGTTAGAGATGTAACAAGTTTCAAACAAATAACAGATGAAGGTAGATAAAAGAACAGAAAGGCATGTCTCTTGTAGGGTGGAAGGCTAGAGAAGTTAAATATCAGGAGAGATGATAATGCAACATTAGATGAAGTGCTGTTGTGACAAGACTGACAGAATTGTAAACAATTGCAGCTTGAAAGCAGAACAAATGGGAAAGGAAAAATAAGGGGAATGAAGAAGGGAGAAATAGCAAAGGATATTGTCTAAAATTGTGAACCTTCTCCCTTTTCACAGTCAGAGGCCTCCAAATACACCTTCCAGGTGAATCAACGACTAATTGCGCTGCATTCAGTTCAGTGTACTATATTTGCTGCTCACAACTTGGTCTTCTCTGTATTGAGAAAACCAAATGCAGACAGGGTTCCAACTTTGTGGAGCACCTCCATTCAATCTGCAAGAGGGAAATTAAGTTTACTATCAACAGTTATTGTAATCCTTCATCTTGCTTACACTACGACCTCTCTGTCAGTAGTCTCCTGTAGTACTCCAGTGAAACACAATACAAGTTCAAGGAATAGCACTTCATTTTTGGACTTGGCAGTTGTGACAGATTCTGAACTCACTTTTGAGTTCATCAATTTTGGATTGTAATTTCTGCCCTAATTTTTTCTATTTCTTTTGTAGGTTAGTTTTCCTCTCTCTTGTTTCTGTATTTTTCCATTTTGGTTTTGTTTTGACGGGCAATTGTTCATGATTCTTTTGTTTCTTCACATGTTCCATTACATCTTCCTTTAGCCCTTCATCATGAAGCCTTTAATTGTTTAATCTCTTATCTTTACCCTGTCGTAAATCATCCCTTTTTTTTAAACCCATATTCCCTTCTTTCAATTGCTTAAAATCTCTACCATCTCAAACTTTTCCCAGTTCTTTTGAAATTGAAATGTTTACTCTGTTTCAATCTGCTCAGCAATCGGGCTGGGTAGATTTTTCCGGCATATTTTGTTTTTATTTGATCATGGTTCCTGACTTGCTGGAGAGCACAAGGATGTTGCTGTTTTTTGTTATATTGCCCCTTTTGCTAAATCTAACGTTTAAGTAATGCAGCATAGATCAACTATCAAAACAGGCACAGCTTCACTATGCTCTGCTTTCAAATATTGTAAATGTCAAAAATAACAGAAATTGGTGTGGCAGAATGATAATGAAATTTGGCAATTGATGTAAGTGCAACATTCACTCAGAAGTATTTTAACATTTGTTTCTGTATTTAGCTTGTAGGTAATGTCAGTGATTCTTGGTTTTCAAAATAGTGACTAAGCTGCAAGTTGAAAGTTGTCTTTGGTTTTGTTCAGTGCACCTATTAATAGCAGACTTAAAATGGCACCAAGCAAAGGCAGATTGTCAAATATCCTAAAAGGGGTACTATGTGCTTACATATTACCAATGTTGAAAGGTGTTTTAAAAAGGAATTAATATATCAGTCAGTAGGTCCAAATGTTTACACTTGTAAATTGTCATGAACAAATAAGGCAATTTAGAAATATGAATTCTATAAATTTTGGTTTGTAGCCAAATTAATATATTACTAAAACTGAATTTAGTTTTATGAAGTGATGTATGTGTTTTATGAGCAAAAATTTACGTATTTCTATTTGGTTGTGGTATAGGTGGCAGACCTAAGAATAGGTCTTCAACGGGCTGAACAGCAGCAAGCCAGGAAAGAGGACTACTTGCGTCAAGAAATTGGTGAATTACAGCAGGTATACATTTTCATATTTTGGAGGTTGGATATTTGAAAGATGGAAATCAGGATGACAGAAAGAATAGTAAATGTGAATTTGGCAAGTATTTTCTTAAAATGGGTATTTTTATGGGCTGAATTAATGTCTCAGCAAAATTATTAGTGAGTATCAGAGCTGTTCAGACTAAAATGTTTCCAATTCAGTCTGATGTATGCTGTTAATTCAGCGATGGGAGGCATCCTGTGATTTGCCTCCGCTTCTGTGGATTAGAGAAGGGAAAAGTTAATCATATCTCTATTATGAAAGTGCACATATATGAGTACTGGATGAGGCTGGTACAAGATGAATATGATATTGATGTCAAACAACTGATAAACATGGTCTTCGCTCAAACATGAATAATATATCAATTTAGGTGAAGCACCGAGAACAAGTGATGCCTACTGAACTACGTCTCATAAAATGACAGCATCTTGATGAAATGAGAAGTGGCTGATCATTGGCAGAGAATAGTTATAAAAGGCGTTTTACATAATTTATTACTTATCTTTAGCAAATCAATTGTCAGTTGAACCTGGTCAAGATTGTTTGCTAATCAATTAAAAGAATAAGTGAAGTAAGACGCTTCATGTACAGCCCTGTTAGAAGCTATGAGACTGAGTGAATTCTTTCAGTTTTTTTTGTTTTATTTGATCATGGGTCTTGATGCATATTTACACTTACACTTGCTGGATAGCACAATGATATTGATTGTTTTGTTTTACTGCCCCGTTGCTAAATCTAAAGTAATGTTGGGAGGTACAACAGAAACTGAAATACTTAGTTGACAACACTACCCACTCCATCCACTTTTCCCAAGAATTCCTAAACATCATCAAGGACACCAGAATAGAAGAGATTGAGATAATGCTATCCTTTGACGTAGCAGCACAATTTACATTCATAAACATCGACATAGCCAAAGAGACAATTGCCACACTGCTGGACGAATCAGGAAGACAGGCACCCCAAGACACCAACAGTTTCAACAAGGACAGCACCCTGAAACTGCTGGATCTGTGCCTCTCAAACCCACTTCTCCTTCAACGTCAGTAAATTCAAACAAATCAATGGAACACTAATGGGATCCCCAATATCAGGACTGATAGCAGAAGTGGTAATGCGAAGATTAGAATGGACAGTGCTTCACACTATACCATCCAAACTCTGAGTCCGCTACGTAGATGACACCTTCGTGATTATCAAATACACAAGACCAGAAGAAACCCACCGACACAAACAACATCCTCACCGGAATAAAATTCACAAAGAAGAAGAGAACAATAACCAACTCCCCTTCCTAGGCATAATGGTAAAACATAAGAACAAAAGGAACTCCAGACTAGCATATACAGAAAGACCACACATATGGACCAGATAGTTAATTACACCAGCAACCACCCCAACACCCATAAACAGAGCTGCATCAGGACATTATGCAAACAAGCCACAACACACTGCAGCAACCCAGAATTGTGCAAAGCACAACAGGAGCACTTGTACGGACTTTTTAAAAGGAATGGACACCCAAAAAGCACAATCTGCCATTACCTCTGCGACAGATTACAACAAGAAGGCACAACACGGCCAGACACACTAGTCACCCTACCATACATCAGAGACGACCAAAAGACTACTAGGATCCTAGGTATCAGGGTAGCCCACAAACCAACAACCACCCTGCAACAGCTACTGATGAATGTAAAGGAGCCCATACCCACAGCCAATAAAACTAACGTAATATACAAAATACCATGCAAGAACTGTGAGAAACATAGGCCAAATTGGAAGAAAACTGACAATAAGGATCACGAACACCAACTAGCCACCAAGAGACACGACCAATTCTCACTGGTCTCAATACACACAGACAAAGAAGGACTCCAATTCAGCTGGGACAGCGCATCCGTAATAGCACAAGCCAAACAGAGACACGCCAGGGAATTCCTGGAGGCCTGGCATTCCAACCGGAACTCCATCAACAAACACACTGAACTGGACCCAATGTACAGACCACTGAAAGACAGAACCGGAAGTAATACCAACCACCCCAGTAAACCAAGGCCAATAAATAAGAAGTGGGACAGAACACCAACACTTCACTGGAGGCGCACTGACAATGTTACCCAGCAGGGTGACCAAACATCTGCAACCAAACACACCGGCTTGGCCAGCAGGTCTACAACCTCATACTGTCTGTCTATCAGTATGTCTAATTAGCCTAAAGAACAGGAGGCTGATGTAGTACAAATTATTGTTGCAGTTTTTATTTTTTTCATCCTAGAGTTTGATTACCTTTAAATGCATATCACTTTGTTAGTTTAAGGAGAATTAAAGTGCTGTTTAATCTAAAATTTTAACCAGTACGGATTTCTAATAGAGACTTCAAGACGCAGATAATCGGAACCAGGAGTTGAGCCAAAGTGTTACATCTGCAAGTCGACCATTGCTGCGACAGATTGAAAACCTACAGGCCACACTTGTGGCACAGTCAGCATCCTGGGAAAAATTGGAAAAGAACTTGTCTAATCGTCTAGGTGAGGAGTAAATCTTTATGAAATTTCTGATGACAGCAATTTTCTCATAAAATGTAATTAACTAGCAAAACACTTGAGAATTTTCCAAAATAAGATCATATATTGGTTAGTAGGATCTCGTAGAATGCCAGTACGTCACAGTTCAGAAGAAGTTCATTCAGCTGATTGTATGTACACCAGCTTTCCTAATGAGCATCATGACTTGATGCTATTCTTCTGTCTTTTCCCATACCCTTGCACATTGGTTCTATTCAAATAATCATCCAGTGCTCTCTTGCATGTCTCATTTGAATTTGCCTCCACCCACCCTTTCGGGCTCTGCATTCCAGACTCAAACCACACAATGTATGAAAAAGCTATTTCTCATCTCACATTTGCTATGTTTACAAATTACTTTAAACCTGTGCTGCCTCATTCATGGTCTTTTTATGAGCATGAATGGTTTCTGCCTCTCTACTCTATCCAGGCCTTCCACGAGTTATAGAGCCATATAGCACAGAAACGGGCATTTTGACCCAACTTGTCCATGCTGACCATGTTTCCTAAACTGAATTAGTCCCATTTGTCTGCTTTTGGCCCATATCTCTCCAAACCTTTCCTATCCACGTATCTGTGCAAATGTCTTTTAAATGTTGTAATTGTACCTACCTCTACCACTTCCTCTGGCAGCTCACTCTGTTTACGCACCACCACTGTGTAAAAAAGTTGCATCTTAGGTCCCTTTTAAATCTTACCCCTCATCTTAAATTTCAAAAACGTCTATTACGTCTCTTCTTAGCTGCTTTCTGTCCAAGGAGATTGGTCCCAACTTTTTCAATCCATCCTTGTAAAAGAAGTTTTCATCCCTGGAACTATTTTTTGCAAATCTCCTCTATACTGTCCGCTGCTTTCACTTCTTGCTAAGTGTGGTGACCAGAACTGGAGATAATATTCTAACTTAAATCTAAGAAATGTCTTGTATAAGTTGTTGCTGTTGTACTCTTTGCCTTATTATTAAAGTCCAGAATATTGAATAGTTTATTAACTGTATTTTGTTATGTATTGACCCTATTGTATTGTGTTCTTTGTACAAAAATGCATTACCTCACACCTGTCTGCACTGAACTTTATCTGCCCATTCCACCAACTTAGCAATGTCCTTTTGTAGTTCTACACTGTCCTTTTCACTGCTTACACTGTTTTAAAGTTTTGCATTATCCATAAACTTTGAAATTGTGCCCAGAACACCTAGATCTGTATCATTAACATTTTTTAGGAAAAGCAAGGGTCACAGAACCAACTCCTTGGGAATTCTACTGCAAAACCTTTCTCCAGCCCAAAATATACCCATTGACCTCAACTGTCTGTTTTCTATTAATCAGCTAACTTTGTACCTTCATTGCTACTGAGCCTTTTATTTCCATGGACTATATATTTTCTCACAAATCAGTTATTCAGCATTGTATTGAATGTCTTTTGAAAGTTCATGGACACAAAATCAACAGCATTACTCTCATTGCCCCTTTCGTTACTTCTTGAAAAAATTCCAGCAAATCAGTCAAAAGTGACTTTATCTTTAGAAATTTACGTTGGTTTTTTATAAACAACTCACCTTTTTCTATGTGACTGCTGACTCTTCCCAAAATAATTGCTTCTAAAAGCTTTCCCAACCTGAAATTAAACTGACTAGTTTGCAATTGCTGAGCTATGCTTACAAATCTTTGTTTTAAAACAAGGGCATAATGTCTCCGATTGTCCAGTCCTCTGGCATCTCACTGAATCTAGGGAACACTGAACGATTATGGCCAGCCCCCCTGCAATTTTCACACTCGCTTCCTTCAGTTTCTCATCTGGTCCCACTGGCCTGTCAACTGTTGACAGCCTGTCCAATAATTCCTGTTTGTCACTTTTAATCGAGTGCTTTCTTTCTCTGTCACCATGGCCAATGTAGCGTCCATGGTAAAGATAGATGCAAAGTACTCATTTAGCACCTCAGCATGCCTCTGTGTGTAATCCCCTGTTAGGTCCCTAATTGGCCCTAACAATTGTTTTAATACAGTTTTACTATTGATGTGCCTGTAGAAAACTTTAGGATTCCCCTTATGCTGCTGCCAGTCTTTTCCCATTATCCCTCTTTGCTGCTCTAATATGTTTTTTCACCTCCTCTCTCAGCCTACTGTATTCCTTTTAGTTGTCAATTATATTCTTTTACCCGACACTTATCATGAGCACACATTTCCTTCTTTATTTTAATTACTATTTCCTTTTTCATCCAGGGCGGTCTGTATTTGTTTGACCTGCCTTTCCCTTTTAAGGGACTATACCTTGACTGCACATGAGTCATCTGCTTTTTGAAGGTAGCCCGATATTTATTTGCAGTTTCTTTCCTTAACCTTTTGTTATAGTCTCTCTGGCGCAGTTTCATTCTTGCCCCATTGAATTTGGTTCTCCCCCAGTTAATTATTTTGACTCTGAATTGCCTATTATCCTTTTTTACCATCATTCCAAACTTTGATGTAATGATCACTAACTCTTAATGTCTTGACACTCGGTCTGTTTGGCCCAGCTCACTTCCAAGAGTCAGTCTCTCAATGCATCCTTTCTAGTTGGACTGGATACAAACTGCTGCAGGAAAGTTTCCTAAATGCAACTCCATCCTTAATGCTATCGCTGTCCCTGCCTACATTCAGGTATTTAAAAGTCCCTAATTATAAACACTCAATAATGTTGGCATTTCTGTGTAATTTCCCTGAAGATTTGTTTCTTTACGTCCTTCCGACTGCTTGACGTTCAACAAACTACATCAAGCAATGTGATTGAACTCTTTTTTTGTTACTTTGAGCCAAAGTGATTCTGTACTTGAAGCCATTGGGATGTCCTCTTCCTCCAACATGTCCAGGTTGTCCTCAACCAATGCCACCTCCCCTCATTTCCTACCTTTTCTGAACATCTTGTACGCAGGAGTATTTAATACCCAGTCCTTCCCTTCTTGCATCAGTAAGGTTTGTAACTTCCCATATATTACAAACCACATATTTCACTTGACTATGATGATTTGTCATATTTTAAAATTATTTCCATTGTGTTAACTTTGCTCTACCTTGGATTGCTTACATTACTTTATTGTAATGGCTCTGGCTTTCTCTTACTCCTATCATTTCTCAATTAAATCTAAGTATAGCTACTTCTTTGACAATAATAAGCTTTCCTAATTTACAGCAATTTAAAGACAGTGCCAAATAGGAGTTTCTCACCAACCAATGACTTCACGGATATTCTGTGATCTCGCTTTTTTTTCACTCTTTTTCATATCACCAATAAAAACATCTTGGAAAAATATCTCCTGCATGTACCCTATGAGGTTCCTCATAAGCAGTCTGGCCTGAAGTGAAATGTTTACTGTATATTTGCTGTTTTAGTCATGCATTGATAAGAATTCAGAGCCAGATACTTAGCTGCAGCTTTCCAGCTTTGTTATCACTTACTCCCAAATTTTTGGGGTGGCACTGAGAGATGGAGTGAAAGAGAGTTATCTGTATACGTGCTGCTCGCTTCTCTGCTGTTTAACAAGTGCATGCCATTAAAAATCCTCAAAGTCACATGGCATTATGGAAGGAATGAATGCTTTTCAAATGCTGCGCTTGAATATGACAGGGTAACACATCACCTTTCTGCTAGACCTCTATATTGCTGCTCAGATATCCAAGGCAGCAGCAAGCTAGACCCTGAGGTCTGGTTTGGGGAAGGGGGAGAGTGTGGTGATTCTCCCACCCAATTTCTATGTAATCTGGCCATTGTTGCATTTTTTCACAAAAAATTCTACTGGCTCCATTTGTGATGTTTCCCATTTTATTCAAGAAACACATTTTTAACATTGTATAATGATCACCATATCTTGGAAGTAAAATTTGAAGTAAATGTTGAAAGTATTGTTGAGCATAGTACAGTCTGTTGAATACAGCTGCTGCAACTTCACTGGTAGTTATTTTGTATTATTAAAACTGTGAAGGAAATTGGCAAGCAGACATGGTTAGCACCGCGAAACAGATTCACTGACTCAAATCTAGTTGAAAGGCAGAAAAAGTGTTGTTGTGCAGCTATATTGATTTAATAGTAGTGTTTATTGTTCCAGTAATGTTAGTTAAACACTAACTAACTAGTGAGATAACAAGGTGCAGAGCTGGATGAACACAGCAGGCCAAGCAGCATCATAGGAGCAGGCT